TTTTGTGTCTTTTGTTTTTCTGTTCAGTGAGCTCTCTTCACAGTAGTAGCTCTGTGCAAAAGCGCTTCTTTCTGAGCTGGAAGTTGCTGTGAAAATAGTTTTTAAGCTGCTAAATGAACCGGTGGGGAAACTTAAAGCCTGTGTCCAGTTGATTTGCTGTACTTTGTGTTGACCCAAGCATGAGTCAGTAGGTGTTGAATACCGAAATGTGTTTGATTTATTTATCTATAATTCAGTAAATCAAACTCAAGCCAATCATATTTCGATGTTGTTTGCATGTGGTTGACGTTCAGAAAATGACCTCATTTGTTGAATTTGCTAAATTCATTTCCATTCTTTCACTAAATGAGCTGGTTTTTTGTCTGTGTTTGTAAGGTCCTGGATGGAAGTGAGAGTCAGTACTCTGGGATGCAGATCGGCACGCTGCAGGATGAAGAAGACGAAGGAGCAGCTCCTTCCTCCCAAGAGGAACCCACCGAGCCCTTCCTGCAGTCGGCACTCGGTGTGTTTCAGCAAACCGTCCGTTTAGCGTTGTGACATTTCGAAATAACAACACTTTTTTTTTCGGTTTCTGCCTCTGGTAGATTTCTGTGTGGGCACCGTGGCAGTAGTTGTGTGTTTCTCTTTTTTAACACACCAAACCTACAGACAACGAACTTAACATTGTAACATGCACTTTTACACACTTACTTTCTCTAATGCACTCACCATTCAAACTTGCATTTATTAAGTTCCAAAAACATACTAAACATTTTAGATTAAGACAAAGATAAATAACAAGGCAATATATTAATAGAAACAGTAGTCAAGACACCCATTAATAAGCTCCACCTTAAGTCCCTATGATCCTCATATATGGCTCCCATAGCATCTCAAAGTCCCGTTCATTAACTTTGGCAATGTATGTTAGTTTTTCCAGTCCGAGTGAGTTTGTAATTTCTTTCTTGCAGAGTCCCAAGGAGGGGGGGGGGTGCAATAGATCTTCTGGCTTGAAGAAGTCTGTAGTCTATCAATGTAGTCTCCATTTCTGATTGTTTGAATTGTGTGGCAGTCATTTTGTCTGGAGCGCTAAGCAGTGTGCTGCGGCCTGTGGGACTCCACACAGAGTGAGCTGGTTCCTGCCGACAGGGCCTGTAAAGGCTTTGGTTTCCCTGTGCGATGGATCCATACAATGAAAAAAGAGATGGGCATTTTAGATATAACTATTCACTTACCTTTACCACGTCCTAGGGATGTCCCGATCCAGCTTTTTGCACTTCCAATCCGATACCGATCCCGGCCTATCAGAGCATGTGTTAAAGTTTAAAGTTATTTATCTACTTACTTAGTTGTCAGACTCATGTTGAACACGGATGTACTCTGATAACAACTTAATGGTTAGGATACAGACCTGTTGGTTAGCAGATGCTAATGCTAATGCTCGTGTGGGATAGGATTTCTAAGAGTAAAACTGGATCTGGTGTCTGGATATGCATTTTCTCCTGCCGGCCAATATGCTTTTTTTTTTTTTACAAATATTTGCTTGTCCCGATCCGATATTTGGATTGGAACGGGACAAGCCTAACATATCCATTCACAATAAATCAGGAAATTCACAGACCGATGTGACAAATAAGTTATGTAACTGAATCAAGCTGATGTTTTTGCCGATGCTATTCCAGATCCAGCCTGAAAATCAATACAATTCTTCTAGTTTTAGTTCTAAATAACAACATCTTTTTTTGTGTGTGTGTGTTTTGTGCAGCTCTGAGCAAGCCTCACCTGTTCGAGGGCAGAGGTCACAACCGGCAGGGCTCCGACAGCAGCGTGGACCGCTTCGCCCCGAAGGACGAACCCGCCGAGCCCGAGCCCGACAACAAGGTAGCCACGCCCACAACACATGACCTCACGCAGTGGTCCCCAACCTTTAATCACCACGGACCGGTCAACGCTCGAGAATATAATGACGGACCAGGGAGGGTTTTTTTATATTTCGAATATAATAATGAACGTGAATCCACCAGGCTGGTCCAGATCCGATATTTGGATCGGATTGGCTGCCGATATTTGCAAAAAAATGTGTATCGGCCGGCAGGAGAAAATGCAGATCCAGACTCCAGATCCAGCTTTTTTTTTATATAATACCGATCCATGTTTTTCTTGCTTACCGATTAAAATAATCCATTCCCCTTTGCTGTGTTGTTCCCTAATATCCTCTCATTATCCAGCACAGCCTTAAGCATTAGCATTAGCAGCTCCTGACCCACAGGTCTGTGTCCTAAGCATGGCCATGGTCATTTGAAGCTAGTTTTGTGGGATTATTTTATCCAGTTTTGTGTTTATCCCTGAATAAACACATCAGTGTCTCTTTACCAACCAGTGTGTGTTATTCAAACTCCCCTAATTCAGCTGCTAGTTGTTATCAGAGTAAATCCCTGTTCAACATGAGTCTGAAAACTAAGTAACTAGATAAATAACTTTAATACATGCTCTGATAGGCCGGGATCGGTATCGGATCAGAAGTCCAAAAAGCTGGATCGGGACATCCCTAGAATCTACTGTGTAATCGTATCCAACTTTATTTTTCCTAGCTAAATACTCCTGGGGCTTGTCTTTTAATCTCTAACCCATGTTTCCAGTAGAACTCCTGGTATTGACTGTTGTTAAAATCTTTCATTTTCTTTGAGGTCGTCGGCTCTTTTTCTGTCTCTTCTTTGGGCCTTTTCGCCTTCGAAAAGAAACTTTCCAAAGACGTCTGTTTTTTTTTACTCCTTCTTTTAACTTGTGGGTAAAATTTTTGGCGCTCAAGTGGTCAAGATGTTACCGAGAAAATCCGGTAATTTTTCGAAATAAAAGATTTTTACTCAGACTCGGGGAATAAACACAACGGAAACAATGAATTATTTCTTGGTATTACCCAGTTGTTGGGGACCACCGGTCCAGTGGACACAAAACTAAGAATTTTTCTTTTTGCTCATTTCCGTCAGCCATCCCGGATCAAAGGCCCGATCGGACACTATACAGACCAGAGTTCGGAGCCTCTCGTGCACTGTGTGCGACTCCTTGCTGCTTCTTTCCTGCTGACGGGACAAAAAAATGGTGAGCTGCAACTGCACAGAACAAATTTTTGGCTCCTTTTTTTCCCCCACTGATGTTGTTTATTTTGTTTATGAATTAAGCAGACGCTTTTATTCAAAGCGACTTACAGAGTAGACACAATATTACATTTCTCATCACTATGACAATAAGTTATACAGAGGAGAAACACTGATCAGAGTCAGTGGTGAGATAGAGGTAGAGGTAGAGGGACTACAGAAGGAGCTGTGGGGGGTAGAGGTACGGGTTAGGGTTAGGATAGGAGCTGTGGGGGGTAGAGGTACGGGTTAGGGTTAGGATAGGAGATGCTATTTGAAGAGGGGGGTCTTCAAGAGTTTCTGAAGACAGACAGGGACCTTCTGTTCTTGTAGCTTGGTAGCTGGTTCCTCCATCTTGGAACGACACATTAAACAGTCTGGATGGTCTTAAGCTGGTGAAGGCTCTGCTAGACCACAGTCCACTGATGACCGGAGGGATCGGGTTGTGACATAAGCCTTTGCAAGAGGATTCAAGTAGATGGGAGCTGTAACTTTAACCCTATAATGCCAAATGTGTCATATCTGATACGGTTTCTGAAGTCTTTTGGATCTGAGACTTTTTGCATCATTCAGTGGTAAAAGCTTTGCTCAAACCCCTGTTGTACACATTCAGATATACCTGATAACAGCCAGTAGAAGACTACACCAAAATACATTTTTGACTTATTGCACGCTAATTTGATCAAAATAATTTCTGTTTTTTTTCTTCATATGTTGTTGAGGGGCCAAAGAAAGACTTCAGACTATTTTTCTTGGATCAGGCTTTAAAAGGTTAAGCACTTTGTAGGCTAGCATCAGGGACCTGGATTTGATCCGGGCAGCCAGAGGTAACCAGTGGAGTTCAGTGAACAGAAGTGCTGTGGGTAAAGATGGTTGTTGCTCTGTGCTGTGTGTGGTCAGGTCTGATCCCGGATAAAGAGGTGCGGGTCAGCGTGAAGGCGTTGGCCGTCAGCTGCGTCGGGGCAGCAGCTGCTCTGCATCCTGAAGCTTTCTTTAACTCGCTCTACCTGGAGCCGCTGGATGGCATTCCGGTTGAAGGTGGGTCAGACTCTCTCTCTAAGTTCCTTTGTTTAGGAAGCCTCTCCATATCATCATTCCCAACTATTAAGATGTTCAGGCTCTGATCATGGAAAAACAAAACAAAACTGTGCACAAAAAAGCTGGAACTGTCCCGATCCAGCTTTTTTCACTTCCGATCCCGGCCTATCAGAGCATCTGTTAAAGTTTAAAGTTATTTATCTACTTACTTAGTTGTCAGACTCATGTTGAACAGGGATTTACTCTGATAACAACTAGCAGCTGAATTAGGGGAGTCTGAATAACACACACTGGTTGGTAAAGAGACTCTGACCTGTTTATTCAGGGATAAACACAAAATAGATACAATTATAAATAACAAACGGAAATGGCATCAGTGAACAGTAAAAAGTGCAAATAATATTGTAAACTGTATTAAAAAGGAAAAACACACAAACAACCTGAATAGAAAATAGTCTAACTCTGCATCAGTGATAGATTATTTTAATCGGTGTGCTGGAAAACACGGATTGGACTGATCTCTCTTTATGTTCGCTAGAGGAAGATGGCTCCCTGTTTCTTAAGTTTTGACCTTTTTGTTTGTGTTTGTTTTGTGTGTGTAGTAACTCTATTTGAGTTTTGTTAAAATTATGCATTTCTAATGTGTCGCAAATAAAACAAGTTAAAAGTCAGTTTCTCTCTCTCTCTCTCTCTCTCTCTTTCTTCCCCCTGCAGAGCAGCAGTATATCAGTGATGTTCTGGGTCTCGTGGACCATGGAGACCCTCAGATCCGGGGGGCCACGGCCATCCTCTGTGGAGCCATTATCCAGGCGGCGCTCACCAAGACGCGCTACAACGTGCACAGCTGGCTGGCCAGCGTGCGGAGTGCCACAGGTTTGAGCTCATTTCTTTTTTAAAAACCGTTAAAGGGGACATATTATGCAAAAGCAAGTTTTTAATCATTTGATTATGTACATTTGGGACTGTGGAGGGCCTATCAGCAGGCAAAGTGTGAAAAAAATGACTCGGTCATGCTTTTGTGGGCCGCCTCAGTCTGAATCCATGAGATAAATCAGGAGGTTTCAGGAGTGGGTAGTTTCTGACGTCATT